GTTAAGGACCGAACAATCGGATATTTGCATATCATTGATCTAGAGTCAACGGTGTGGTGACCGTAAATTCTTCTCGTTCTCGAGTGAGAGATTTACATGACAATCAGTTACTATATATATATATATGTGTATATATATATATATATATATATATATATGTGTGTGTGTGTGTATATATATATATATGTGTGTGTGTGTGTGTATATATATATATATATATATATATTTCGTTTCATTAGCAGGCGCTTCCGCTCTTCCATCATTGCCAGCGCACAATAATGTTACGTACGATAAATTACTTAGAGCAAGCTACACAGCAACGCTGGGTCACTAATCGCGATCAGATGTAACAATTAGATGTGGATTAAAAAAAAGAAATTGCTATAATTAATTATATCCGACGTTACGAAACGTCGCGTTTCGAAATAGCACTGCTTCTTCAGCGCGTTATTCGTTCGAATTTAAATCGCAGTATCATCGCCGTCGCAAGTTTGTTACACGATTTGCGTTACCGCAACTCGATCTAGGCTATCGACCCCTCGCGACGCATCGCCGGTCCCCATTCCGCATCGCCCTCGCCGCTCCCCCTCGCGTCTCCGTATCGGATGACGGCGGTTAAGGGCCGAATATTCGCGAATTATCGATCGCGTGCCGAGGTCGCACGCCCTACCGTCACCGTCACCGATCATCCCTTGGATTTCCGGTCCGATCGGGAATCCGCCTCGCGATCCCGTGATGCGCGTCGTTCCTCGAGTTTCGGGGAACGTAATCGCGCGCCGGGGTACGTCGTAGGACCCACGTCTCTCTATTCCGAGTCCAACGACACCGCCGTTACGCCAGCACCTACGTGCTCCTCGGGTCCTTGACTTCTCTAGGCTACGAACGCCGTTCGAGACATTCGCCGCGCCGATATACGGGGATAAAATGAGCAGAGAGTAGTAGTGTAGGCTGTGGATCGGAGGGACTTCGTTGGAGCAACACGCCACGGGATCGCTATCGCGAAAGATAGAGACGTGGCGTTTTTATTCTTATTTATATTCTTACCTCCTGCCAGAGATATTCGCGTCAGAGTCAGGCCAATGTGACGGGTAATTTGTTTCCTTGATGCGATTACGCCTCCGGCGCAATCTCTATTTTGTGTAATTATTAGCGTTTCGATTTGCGCTTTCAGCACGAAGAGCGTTGTGCTAATTTTAATAACTAAAAAGTAGCGAATGGATCAAACTTTATTTTAAATATTCCTCAACACTGAAATCGGAATTTGCTTTCCTTACTTAATAAAATAATATTGTAATCTTTTTTTTTTTTTGACAAAATTATTTATTGATCAATTTTTTAAAATGTTTTATTCTTGCTATTTAAGCAAATGCATTTTATATTAATTTTATTACTTGAAAATGCAGATTGAAAGCGACGCCGACTTAAGCGTTTCTATTCTCGCTCCCGTATCCTGCGATTGATCTTCGTATAGTCCAATTTGACGTCATTTACACGCGGTGATGCTAAACGTCGATTTTGTTAACAAGCTGTACTACAGCTGCAATACGTCACGATGACTCGCGATTCTATGATTATTTAATGCAGTCACGAGCAAAATGCGCTACCATTTGCGATGATTTCATTTAGTCGTTAATGATCTGGACAACATTGGAGTAGTAGATAAATCTGGGCGTGCTGGACGTTTATAATCGAATAAGAGTAAATGAGAGCCATTCATTTGCATTTTCGAAATTAATATCCGACTGATTCACAAGCTCGAAAAATTTTTTTAAATGTCATATGTGAGAAAAAAGTTTGACGAAGATCAAACTGATCAAACTATTTCTATTACAATTAAAATAAAAAATAATTTATATATATTTTTTTACAACTAATATTCATTCTAATATATTGAAACTGAGAAAATTTAACGACGCTACTGTAAAGGCACTTGGCTCAATATCCGAGATCAATTTTCAAGAAACTTGCGGTGCGATCGCGATACGGACGGAGAAACGCGGGCGCATATCTGCGCGATGTATCTCCGCGCTTCCGAACCAGTCCCAGCGACCTTAATACGCGTAGACGATGTCCTCGCGGTATCCTTGAATTGTTCCGATATGGCCGCGTAAGAAGTCTCTCTCTCGTCCCGACAATGCTCGCGCCGCGCCGTGTACACGGCGACCCAGACTCGTCTTTTTCTCGCCGTCCTTATCGTCGGCAGTCGAAGTTGGGCCACAAGTCGGGCGCGCGAACGCACTATCCTTGGCCCAACTTTATCGTCGACTTTGACCTCTTCGCCGCCGTCGCACCCGCTACGAAATTACGCAAAATTAATTGGCTTTACGTTTAATCCCGAATAAGCGCGGGCGCGTCTTTCGCCGCTACCGGCGATACGAGGTAAATTAGTAACCTGTTGTTTGCGATTTCTATGTTTACCGCGGTTTCACCGGAAACTCGGCAAAGTTGGAGTACTTAGCGAGCAAAGTGGCGAGGTCGAAGGTCGAATTGAATTAAATTTAAGCGCGATTACAGTGCGATTGTGCAAATAAACGATTTAGCAGGAAATTCAGTCGGGTGATTCGACTCGTATTATTATCAAAAATAAGAAAACTTAACAAAACTTGAAAACGTTTTCTTGAAAGTTTGCTTAATTGACACAAAATCAAGAGAGATTTCGCACAAGATTAAATGAACAGTAAATAATACAAATGCACGTGCAATAAACGTTTGCATTGGCGGATATTTTTTTTGTTTTTATACATATCGCAACGTTTAAGATGTTCAAAATATGATTAAATCCGACTATTTAATTTGTTTAATTAAATTATCATTAAAAATAATTTTTATATGGTTTATATGAATTAAGATAATTATTTGTTATTGAAAGAATTATTGAAATTATTTCATGTTTATCATAAATACTTATGAAACATCTACAATATTGCTGCAAGAGCGAAAGTTTTTTTTTTCTTTTTACAGTTGGATTGTGCGCATCCGTAACGATTGTCGGAGAACCGTATTAAATGATTAATTCGATGGCAGCGGTTCGGTACTTATACTGCGTATCGGTGTGCGCAAGCGGTATCGATTGTCGTATGACGTCATTCAGTGAGACCGGCATTCGTCTTCAACTTTGGCCTTTTGATGCCCTGACATTCATGGTCTACACGTGTCGGCCAAATAATTACGTTTTTCCGAATCCAATTAAATCGAACTGTCGTCAAGCGTTAATGAATGAAGTAAATTATGCAGCAGCGCGTTGGCCGAATTTGTCAGCTGCGTCGGATAAACGCATAATCTGCAGCAATCGAATATTTCGCAGTTAACGATGAATTCACCTTCAATAAATTATATCTATTTGTTTTTATCATTGCTATATATTGTATTTTATGTAAAATTACGTATAATTAGTTATCAGTAAGTAATTGGAAATGACAAATCTTTAAATCGACGGTTTTAAATCGACAATTATTTACAAATCATTAACAAATTCGATACTTAACAGTATACCTAACTAAAATCACGTGACATTATCAGCGTATCAGTCTTTATCTCTGACTGCACGCTCAAGCCTCTAATATGCGCATTCAAGAAACTCCCCATCGTTTTGCTCGATTTGTACACTCGTGAAACTTGCTTTTCTGCTTACATATCCTGTATTAATGATGATACAATTATACGACAAAATTGGATAGACGAATACGAGCGTTATCAATGATTATAACGCATTTACGCGTAAAATATGTGTAAACTTGCGTTAACGTGTTGTAAACAAGCGCATTATAATTAGAATTGTAAATTTGTTTTGCTGCAATTAGAATTGCAAAAATGCTTTTGAATCGATGATAATTAAATCTTTTCATAAGTTCTCTTTCCAAGTAAAGAATATTCAACTATCACATTTTTACGTAGCTGATTGTTCATTAAATGAATCTCTCGAACAACTTAAATATTGGAATCACGTATTAACGCTTATCAATCTTTTTAATTTATCCACTTTGTCTAATTGTAAGATGCGCTTCGAATTAGATCTCCGCGAATGCGCACGGATGCTGCGCCCATCGCGGCGTGTATGCGCGCTCGCAGTGTGCGTGAGTACGAACGAGGCGCGTTTAACCTACATAAAGTGGAATCGTGATTGGGCGAAGTAAATGGCGAACGATCTTACAGATAATCGATATGCAGCACGTCGCGAGTATCGTCGATTCTTCTCACGCGGAGAAAGCCGGTTTCGTTCGTTCGTCGTTGCTTTGGGGAGAAAAACCGGAGAGGAGGCTATTGCGATGAGTTTCATACGTGTGATCCCGGTTCGCATACGTGTTAGGTTTAATCATTTTTTCATTAAGGCGGACCGCCCCAAAATCGACGCGGTGCGAATGTTGAAAAATGTGTAACGCGAAGCTGAGGGATAAAACTAAACGAATGAGAGGATTAGAGAGACTTAACGTGACTTATTCACGCTCCCACGTTTATGAACTATTGAAGTGTAACGCTTTGACATTATCCTATCACTGGCGAGTTAAACTACGCTTCTATTAGTATTGTAACATCTTGAACGTATTGATTAAACTGCAGAACTTGTATTTAATTTCTGTACTGTATCTAAAACCATCAATTGTATCATAAATTCTATGTAATCATATCGATTGATAATATAAATAAAATAATTAATTACAGATCCAAATTTTACAATATATATGTGTAGCTAAATTTTTTAAATATAAGTTTCTCAAATACATGAAATGTTTCGAAAAGTAGCAATCTTTTTTCAACTTGATTTGAAGTTGGTTTATGTAAATGTAAACATTGAAATATATATAAAAGCTACATAATTGCACTCTCTTAAATTCTTTGGTTAATTTGAAAGATTTAAATTGTGCTGGTGAAAATATCTTTCACAGCATGATAGATGATATGCTCGAACAGTTTTCAAAGTAACAGTTTACAAAGCAATATTGAAAATTAGGAGTGAAGGACGATCAGTTAGGAAAGTGCACACGCTGCTCTTTTGTTCGCAGGGTATTATCAGCCGGCTGGTCCACTGATACAGCACCCACCGCCACCGCCACCGACTTTACCACCCGTTAAAGGTCCGCCCCCGGAACCGACACCCACGCCTCCGCAAAATTCAGAGGGCTCGGACGATTTGGTCGCCACTTCCACAACTTCGGGAGGCACAAGCAGCACGGGTATGTCACACTAATAATTAACATATGAATAATAATCATCAAAAACATTGCTGTAAAAAAGTTTTTTCATTATATCTTTTGCTGGAAAAACAAAATTTTATACTGAAATATTTTAATTTATATAAAAATTTTTTCGTTTTGCGTATCGGACAGTTTTCACCAGTTCAATTTATCTAACAAATCTGCTGCTCAGGCAAATTCACGTCGTTATATATCTCTTGAGGAATGTATCACAGAACTTTTTTAACGATTTTATCATGTAGTGCTCAACATAGCACGATTATCTATCTTGGAACTGCATTAATGAGTGCAAGTGCGTATTGAGATTGCATGGTGCATAACTGGTGCGTGAAGGTAAACATTGGAAATCGTGCAGCTTTAACCTTTCGTTCCTCCGTTTTTCTCTTTTTCATATTTGCTTTATTCATATTTTATATTTGTTATTTTTTTTATTTATGTTCCACATTTATTCATATTTCATCGGAGCAATTTATGTTTTTTTATGTAGATTTAAAAATGAGTCTTTGCCAAATGTTGCGAAGAGTCGCTAGTAAACTTTAACTTGTATGTCGCGTAGAATTAATAGTTTGTTTTCTGCAATAATCATGGATGCGCTATAAATTGCACGCTACATTAGAATGCAAAAAGTAATGTACATCGGCCATTTTTAAGTCGGGCAAAAACAGTGCGCGTCGGCTTAAGATTGAACCATGAGAGCGTATTTTTCTGCATTTTTGCATATGCAAATAACAGCTTGCACTACGATATTATAGATATTAGCGTATAATAAGCGACTCTAAATCACGTAGTACATAGACGGGAGCGCGGGGCTAATAGCGCGAGCACTCACGAGTTAATTGGATGGAGATATCTCAGCGTCTTCGATAATATAGCGCTACATTCGTACGCTATATCAAGATCAAGTATAGCACACCCATGCAAAGTCCTCGCAAGTAGCGTTACTGATAGCAGATATTATCAACGAGAGATTGTAAGTCGATGAATAGTTATCCCGCTGTTCAACTTTTCGGCAAAAATAGAAGTTTCTTACTAAATAAGCGAATAATATTGGATAAAGTACTTATTATTTGGAAATGAAAACAGTTACTTGCTTCACTCTTCATTTTGAAGACTTCAAGCTTCTGCGACAAATGAATGTTACATATTAATGATTACATATTAATTGCATGTTAATTATGTATAAAGAATGACGTCTTCTTTTGACAAATGGCTCGTGTAAATTACGTAATAGTGCTCTTTAAACTGGCCCTTCAACTGTAATTATCAAACTAAATACTCGGAGTTTGTTCGTTACTGACAAAATGGACCGTTGGATTCGATAGAACCCGCAAGGATGAATGAACGATCGTTTGTTACAGGTGGAGGCTTTTATAGGACATATTGCCCGCAGTACTACAACACGCCGCCGCAGTATCCGGATCTGTGTTATCCGCCGACGTATTCTCATCCTCACGCTCATCCGCCGCATTACTACAAATACCCACCCACTTACAGAAGGTAAGAGATTTATTCGCGTTCGACGCCTCGCATGATGACGCGGGTAAGAAGAGGCGAGGTTCGCAAAGAATAGCACGTACGCCGCGTTACGTCGGTTCTGTAACATTACCCGGAATTTATTTGCATTAAGTGTCTTTAAAAATTTTCATTTTTACATTATACAACATGTTATTACGGTAGAATATGAGCAGCACTAGCCTTATTATTATTATAACGTTATCGGGCATTGTGTTACATTACTCTTTCCGTGGTGCTCATTCTTTTGAACGAACGCCCGTACACCTTATAAATGTTGATAACGCGATTTACACATGTTAATTATCAAATTGTGCACAGTAATTATGTAATAAATTAGGCGCGATTGTATCTCGCTTTAAATATCATCGTTGTTAACCGTTTCGCGGCACGAAAGTTGTTTTGCGCATGTTTATTACTATCCGTGTGACTGAGTTCTCTAAAGTTTCAGACTAGTCTTGATAAAAGAAATAAGATTGCTGTTGGAAAAGAAACATATTGTAGAAAATTTCAATGAATTTTTAAACTATCGTAAAACAAACGGGACCGCTTGTATAATAATGATAAAATTACTCGATACGATTGCACATTGTGTTCAGATTGTCTTGCTCAAATGTATATAAAAGCATATAAAAATATGATTGAGGATATTGCAAGGACAATTCAATTTCTGTATCAATGTTATTATTTTTTAATGTCATTATCACTTGCAGTGATTTCAATTACATAAGCAACAGAGAGCATATCTTGTCATATTATAATACATTTAGGTCACAGATGGTGCTAACTTTCCGAAAGCATCGTAGTCTTGTTTTTGGTAAGGAAACGAGAGTTGCAACTAGAGCACGGCGAAGTTGGTTTTTGCTGTAAAGTCGCGGAAATTTTAGGCAGCGAATTTTGACATATGCGATAATTTTGGAACTATTCGGCATATTAACATGAAAATACATGTACGCTTTCGTCTCTACAATTAAATCACACAAATTAAAATTTTATTAATTTTTATTAAAATTTTATTTCATATTAAATTTCTATTATACGAGAAATGTGCATAATTAGACTCATTCGTAGCCTCATTATTATATCATATATTTTTGTTAAAATATAATGTAAATATATAAATCTCTCTCAATCTCGTCTCAATTTCTAGAAATCTAATATTATTAGTGCCCCGATGTTTTCGGCAAGAAAAAAATTTACTTTGAATTGAAGAAAAAAATTTTGTCAATCGAAAAAATTATGCGGGCCTGAATTCTTCTTTTGACCATAAATTTAGATGCTTCTGACATTTGCTAATGACTCTGTAAATATGTCACGGAAAAAATATATCTTTTCCGAGCCTTTACAGCCTTTCTTACACAATGAGAACAGGCGTGTATAAGGGTGAACGTCCAGCGTGTTGTAGAAAGTTCGTATTCATCTTTTGATTGTTAATGCATGCTTCTTGAGAAAAGAATTTCATTCCAGGCAATACTATGGCTATCAGGGAAGCCGGTGGGGAGGCGGACCACCGCCGGGCAGCGGGGGCGTGCCGGAGGTGGCCCTGGAGTCGTTGATTATCAGCCACCTCCGCCACCGCCCGGTGAATATCCGCTGCCACCCTATTACTATCCGACACCCCCCCATCCGCCACCACCACATCCACCGAATCCGGCATATCTGCATTCTCAGGGAAGACCTTTCGTAGACCGTAAGTATCATCGGTTTTCTCAAAGAACTATGCTTCCACTCTGATCCTGCGCTATAATCTTGCGAGGAAAATTTAGAATTTTACCAAAATTTTTTTTCCGCTTGTGACTATATCTTCCTGCAATCCATTTCTTTAGTTCCATACGATTAAATTTATATTAAAATTGTTTCTATTTTCGTGTTTTTAAGAATTTTAGAAAAAACACAGACATGTGCCTGATTTTTTAAATTATTGTCTCGAATGTATACAATATAATATAGACAATAATTAAAGTAAATAATAAAATAATAATTATAATGAAAATAATTATTAATAATTATTACCAATAATTGATGTATATAATTTTTTGACAAATTTTTTAATTAGAGAGTTATGTCATAAGTTATCATTGCAGAATTAAAAGTTTAAAAGATTGCAGGATTATATAATAAACTAATAATGCATACGCCCGAACGCTATTGGACGACTAAATTATTCAGCTGACGGCGAATTTTTGGAATTCTAATCAATTTTTTAGCAACTTATCAATCCAAATTAATCTTTAGATTTTTTGTTTATATTTTTAACGAAATTTTTAATGTATTATTCAATACTTTGAAAGACTAAAAGTCGTTTAATGGTTAAGTCCCCTCTTCTCCTTTCTGCATCTAATACGGATCTAAAAGAGTTTTCAGATTTTCAAAGTAATTTTTCACGTAATTTTACATGCATTATTTTTAGAAAATCATATTTTTTTGCGAACGTAATTGAAAAAAGTATTTATATTAAAGAATAATAATACATATTTGGGTTTTCCATTTTAACAAAATGTATTGGTACAAAAATCAAGAAAGAAACTAGTTAAACAACTTTAAATTGGCTTCTCTATATTTGCTATTGTATTGTTCGAATTCCAACAAACAGAATGGCGTCTTATTTGACATAGAAGAAAGGGAAAGTGGGGATAAGACCTCCATATAATGACTAGTCATTCAGGTTAAAATTGCTACAACCCAACAAGTCGTTCGATTTTGACCAGAGACCTACGACGAAGGGTGGGGTGCAGTCTTGCACGTTCATTCAGGCAGTTTGCATAGAAGTTTCGTCAGAAATTTTCCTTTACTGTAACGCCCACTTATTTTTTCTTTTTTCCCAGTGTTCTTCCAAAATCTTGTGACTTTGTGTGAACGTTGTGGTTTATCTCTTGAAAGAATGATTGGTCAATAGCGTTTGCAGTAAGTTATGCGTTTCTTTCGAGTATTTCTTAACGTGCTTAGGATGTGCCGTTGAAAACTTGTAGCTACACGTTTTTCCTCGACTTTCGTGAGATTAGCGACATTTTAAATGCACAACTGTTGCGCAAAATAACAATAGCTTGTGATTAATTTTATTATATTTATCAGTAATATTTAATAAAAACTTAATTTAATACGAAAGAAATTATACGAATAATGTAAGATGTTTGTCGCTCTCTCTCTCTCTCTCTCGCTTTGAGATCGGATTTTCCAAAACGTAGCGCTATTTTTTCGCACGACGTTCGCAGTGCAAATAAAACATTTTTTTGTTCAAGTATATCTTTTATTCGACTTACGCTAAGAACTAAATGCAAAAAATATCGCTGAAACAAGTATTTGGAATTTTTGCTATGAATTTAGTTTTCTCGGACTACCTGTTTTCTAATCAGCCTTCGGCAAGAAAAAGGATACTTATCGAAGCTGTTTCCATTGTAGCCTTTCAGGGTTGTCCATGCCCGATGCAATCGTGTCCAAAAAACGTGGATACTGGGGCCCTTATTGGTAATGGTAAGGGAGCGCCAGTGGTATCGGGGCCCGGTCTGTCATTGCCACCCAGTGCTTTGGTAGGTCCGCCCTCGCCGGCGAGGGGGCTAGCCGGGCTAGCACCCCCTCACGGTGCCAACGCCTGGGATACGGATCGCGTCCAAATCAACACTCATCGCAACCTAAATCAGAACCAACCCCCCTCAGTCCCGTCGTCGCACAATCTGGTCGGTGGACATAGTCGCCTTCAAAGCCAAGACTGTAGAAGTAAGGTATGTATCATTCGCTCTTAAATCCTGACGATTGTTTATTTTGATTTCCCGCATAAAAAAATATCATTGATTGCACTGTTTAATGTATAAATGTCAGAAATTATATTTCGCGACAGTATCTTCGCGAATTTTATCACGGCTGAGTTGCGAATTTCCTTTTTTTGTCACCTCCGCAGGACGAGCAAAATTGTACGGAGGATACGTTGCGAAAATGTGGTTGTCAGAACGCCTGTACGTCCACCTGCGAAGTTAAGATGGAGACATTGTCGCCGACTGAGAAACTGTCGGTGACGGCGAATTGTCCCAGCAAATATCACAATTTCAAGCTAGAGAACAACAACGTCAAATGCGAGTCCTGCAGCATGGAGATCGCCGACGGGCTGCCGTGCGTCGCCAATTGTAACGTCGTGAAATGCGAGTCGGACTACAAGTGCGACATCATGAAATGCGAGCAGTGCATGAAGGAAGGCCAGATCGCTATATTGGAGATGGATAAGGACTCCGGTATCGTACTGGATGACAAGCTTGACGGCGATCCCGATGTGAAGGAGGAGTTGGACGTCGTGCTAATCGACAGCGATGAGTCCTGGAAGAAACCCGATTATGAATCGACTGTACAAGAGACCGTCGATGATAAGGATGATGAAGACGAGGAGGAGGAGGAGGAGGAGGAGGAAGTCACGCAGGGACCGGCCGAGGTGGAGATTGAAGCTGAAACTGAAGAGCAGCCCAAGTGCCAAAAGGTGACGAAGAGGAAGCTCTCGCTCGACAGTTTGTCGGACAGCAGAAAGAAGAGGAAGCTGAGCAAGAGAGCCCTGTCGGTCGGCTCGTCTCAGGAGGCGAACAACGAGCAATCGGCGAGTGTGATCGCGCCGATCGAGCCGTTGCCGAATAAAACTGACAGCGTGAGAGTCGAGGCGAGCGTGCCGAAGAAGAAGCAAGCGAAGAAGGACGTAGGGCCGCGAGGTCAAAAGCGCAAAGCGGAGGCGCCGAACGCGAATGAGAGCGCGACGAAGAAGGCGAAGAGTTGTAAGCAGAATGCGATTAACAACGTCGGGAATTGCTTGAAGCGAACCGCTAGCGATATCTCGATAATGGAGACCATAGACGATGTGATACAGCAGAGCCTGCAAATGACGCAGAGGAAGGATCGCAAGAGCAAGAACTGTGAGCGCGTGGAGAAGAAAAAGAAGAGCATAAAGGAAGAATTGCCGACGGCGAAAAAAGTCGCGAAGAAGATAGATCAGATGAAGCAGGCGATTGCTGTCGAGAAAATGTTGAAGGCGGTTTCGAAGAGTCAGTCCAAAGCAAAAGCGGACGTGAAGCTAAAATCTAAGGCTCTGCAGGAGAGTAAGACTAAAAGTAAAAGTAAAGGTGGCAAGATCGTGGAGACAAAAGTCCAGGATACGAAATTCAAGGTGCAGGAGTTGAAAGCGCGAGACGGTTCGAAGAAGCGCGACACCGTGTCCAAGACCAAAGCGAACGACATTGGCGAAGACCCGAAGAAGTCGGCTGTAATTAAGAAGAAGCGGAAAAACGCAAAGAAGTCGGTGAACGTCAAGAAGTCAGGCTGCAAGGTGGAGAACTCCTCAGTCGGAAACGAAAGCCTGACATTAACGAGAAAAACGTTCCTGAAACCGAAGTGGAACAATGGATGGAGCTGGGAGGGGGAGCCCTTTGAAGCCAAAGTTTATTTAACGGTAAGGACAATTACACCTTGAAGTTTTCAATCTGGTCGCTTCGCTTGCATCTTGATATCACATTTAAAAAAATAGATGTCTACTGCATTGTCATCACATTGCGATAAAAGAGATTATAGTAGAAACATTTTTATTGAAGGATTATAAAACAACGATTTAAATTACATATTTATCGAATCAGAAAGATTTTATTAGTCAAACATGCTAGAATATTTAGCTTTGTGCTATAAATGATAAAAAAAGAATTTATATTTTATTGTTTGCGTGTTACTCTGACAAATTCATGCAAAATATAGATTTTACAAGGCAATCTTTGATCAAATAATATGTGTAGATCGTTTCAAAATAATTTTCATTCATTTTCCAGTCGCAAACGATTGCATGTTTTATGTAGAATCGTGTGCGGCTGTTAATTGCTATGTGATGATTCTAGTGATTGATTCGATTCTGGAAATCGGTCGATTCCAGACAGATGAGATCTGATCGATTTTGAAATGTATTATTTTAGAACGAGGAGACAGCCATACGGCGATGTTACGCGAGTATGAGTCACGAGAGCGGCGACGTGCTGCGACCTAGGGACTGCGTGTTACTGAAAAGCGGTACGCGGAAGGGTGATTTACCGTACGTTGCGAAAATCGCTGCGCTCTGGGAGAATCCGGACGACGGTAGATATCTTATATCGCGAAAACACGACCGTCTAGAGCCAACAAGCTAATATTCCGTTATTCCGTTCTCGTTAGGTGAGATGATGTTTTCGTTGCTATGGTACTACAGACCCGAACACACGGAGCAGGGTCGAACGCCGCACGATAGCGAGGACGAGGTATTTGCTTCGCGCCATCGGGATGCAAACAGCGTCGCTTGCATAGAGGACAAATGTTATATCCTAACGTTTAACGAGTATTGTCGGTGAGTAAATCCATATTCTGATCTATCAATTCATTACTTGAATGTGTTTTTGATAAATAAGCCTTTGGCAAAATTTTCTTTACAGATTTTGTATAATTAGACCTAATGACAAATTTCGTTTGTACAGTGGCAAAGTAACTTTATGAAAAACGTTTGAGGCTTTTAACGAATCGCTGAATATTGCTTTTATCGTTGGTTCATAAAATGTTGAAATTAAAAAACGTAATCTTTTCGCTTCATCCGGCAGCGTCAGTTTCTCTATATTACTGCATGTGGTTTTTATGTGATAGGTATCGTAAAAACTTACGGAGGATCGAAGAGGGCTTAGAGAATCCTGGCTTGATAGTTCCGCCAGGGGACCAAGTGTATCCAAGAGAGAATCGGCAGCCTCCTATACCAGTACCATCAGACATGGTGCTCTTCTGCCGACGTGTTTACGACTATCGCGGGAAGAAACTCGTGAAGAATCCCGGATGACTCGAATTCCTGTAAAATGCAAACCGAGGAAGCTGAGGTCACACTGAGAACACATTGAAACTGGCCGCGGGTTTCCTTTCAAGTGTAATCGCGTCGATCTGTTGATCGATTTGTCTTGATTTCGAGGGGTAACGAGATCCGATTGTTCTTGTCGCGAATTACCGGCTTCGCGAAAGCAGCCTCTACTTTCTGCACTTTTCGCCATTCGCATTTTATCGATTCGCTAGAGGAATAGATAGCGCTTCTACATGAAGGAATATTCGATTTTACCCAAAAGAATTATGGAAAAGTGAGGAAAGTGAAGTAGCGCGCGCGCGCGAGTGTTTCAACGATAATCGGATTTCCTTCTACCCTTAAAATGTAGGAAGATTTTTAGAATATTGCGTCAAGAAAGACTTGCAGAAAAAGAAACGGCATCTCGCGTATATCATATATATTGTAAAGCTATCCCTATCGCCGCTTGTATTAATCCGTCTTTCTATCTTGCTCGTCTGCGGTAGCACGGAAATCATGATGAATCGTTCATTAATTCTGATGATAGACGTCGCGTCGAATTCGCGTCGGCGGATCGAGCGCGAAAATGCGCGTCGAGCACTCACATGCCGAAACATATAGATCAATTACAAGTTCCGGACGATATTTTTCCACGGGTGACATTAATCCGCATGTTCCTCTCGCGATCGCGTATCTTCGACCGGGATTCGGCTCGAGAACGCGCGCCCGCGCTCATCGCCGTCCGCCCACGCGAACGAAACCGACGTACTCTCGATAAACGTGTATAAGCTGTTTCTAGGCGAGTTAGCGGGATTTGACAATTTTATAGAGAGAATCATATTTTTTGTGAGATAGCATTTTACACAACACTTAAATGGATATTTTTCACATAGGAGGTACAAATGCACGACGCCGTCGCGTCGCGCGTCACGGCGCCTTAACTTGAAGGGAACCTACGAACAGTTTCAATGATAAGGAATCAAAAGCAGGGACGAAATTGCGGTTACTTAGCGAGAACAGCGATATATGTATAAGTGCTCTACCGTACTCCAATCAAGCGTGTGCGACATTACACTTCCATCGTTCTATGGTACACTTTTTGCATCTATCTCGGGGATGCAGCTAGCTTTCGGATGGAAACCCAACCGGCGCACATATGTCATTTTCGTAAACGTAATCATTGTAATATGTAAAATGCATTTTTACAAACAGTGCCGAAGACAAATGTTCCACAATCAGAAGTGGCTCAATCCGAAACATTAGATTGTACGATAAGTTGTCAATTTGAACATCTTTGCATGTCTTTATTAGGATTTTTGTGTCTAAATATGTACACATTTAGAAATCTTGTTATTGTTGTTATACTTCACAAGTGTTAATTATAGTATGATAGGTTTGGATACTTTTTTTAAAATCGATTTAATTGATATTGATTTTTAATACCTAAAAGGTAGCAAGAAAAAATTGAAAATCAGAGTGTTTTAAAGAGAAGAATTGCGGATCGAGCCATTTCTAACTGACACGCCGCGTCTACGCTTAGTAAAGAGACCTTTGTTCGCTCGTTTTTTAATACAATTATGACTCCTTCCAAGTATACAGGAGACACAGACATTTAATAGCCAGGGACGTTTGTGTTTTGACCTGTCACACACCGCGAGTCGCTTCTACGTGCAGTTTTGATTTCTTTTTTTTTTTACGATTATTCTTTTTACTTTGATTCTTAACGATCTCTGAGATCCATAATGAGAGAGAAGTAGTTGTGTATTATCGCCTATAACGTAGACGTATAGAAATAAATATATAATTTTGGTTCGTGTAAGATCCATGTAGCAATTAGTCAGTACTCGCGGTAGAATGCCAAAAATAACCAAAACACATTTATGTCACACGATTCACACGAGAAGCTTGACTTTTTTTTATGCGCATTAATATTAATCACGACAGAATTTATCACCGGATCATTTGATAAGTAATTATTTCTATGGGAATTCATCGAATCATGTTGATTTTGATTATTTACATTTGTTGAGTGTAGCGGGCGTTTGTTGGAAATTATATTATTTAAAATTAATATATTGATCATATATGATTATTATTTAATATCTAATATATTGGACTTAGGCATTAAGTTATTTTGCGAGAGCGTAGTAAGGAATAAACAGGTAGAACAGAGCGCGCGCGTGTTTATGGCTGTATGTGTTATGTGTGCGTGCGAAGAAAGAGAAAAAGAGAAGAGAAGTTCATGGCGAGCACTGTTATAAATGGGCGAGAAAATCGAAAACGCGGTAAGGAGAGAAGCGAGACCATGTCGACAGATTCTGTTTGCGAGAAATCTCACGATACCGATACATTCTTTAATGTGCAAAATTTCTTCGTTGCGATTCGATGTATCCGTTTTCATAATGTATCCCGATAACACTCGATGAGATGCGCTCGACGTATTTGATAAGGATTTAGTCTTACGTAAACACCGTACACACAATGCGTGGGTTTCAACGGACGCCGTTTCGATTAAGTACCGAAAAACAAAAAACGCGCCGAATCCTCACGCGATGCACTTCCGCTTTCGACCGTGTTTATCGGAAACCGAGAGAAACAAGGCGCTCCGGTCAAGCATCTAACGCAAAAATTCCAAAGAAACGCCGATCCCGCGAGGGGTAATGAATTGCGGCGCTCGTCGGTAATCCACCGGATTCTTGCGTAATCTTTTTATAGGTAGTTTTATATTCCTTTTTAACGCGCAAAGAAGATAACAGAGAGAGGCACGAAAGCGCAGAAGATAACTTTTTTTTTTCTAGAGAAATCGACCGTTACAGATAGCGAAACCGGGAGAACAGTGATACAGACGGAACAATAAAATATTTGCTGAAGAAATATCGAGAAAGAGAAGAAAGAAATTAAGAGGAGAGAAAAAGAAGAGTTGCACACGAGCGCGACTTTTTTATCGTGTCACCGAAGACGAAGCGTACTCGTGGAGATCATCGAAACGAAATAGGCGGAATCGCGCGCCCGTGTAAATATTGTGTATTCGCGTACGTGTAATACCTAAAAAGAAAAAAAAAAGACAAGAGAGAAGAGCGCGGCTCCATCCGAGCCGCGCGCGCATGCACGGTGCGGGTGTAATTTTCAGGAACTTACCTACCTAGCGACGGTTAACATGGGAACATTGCACACAATGCATATCCTCTGTTCATTTTACGTAGCCGACGTACTTTTTCCATCGAGAGAAAGAGAGAGAGAGAGAGAGAGAGAGAGAGAGAGAGCGAAAGCAGGGAACTTCCCTTGGTCGTTCGTCAGGGCCCACGAGGTGTGCGAGGTCCGCGGCCTGCGCTTCTCTCGCTCCCTTCTTGCATCCGCTTTAATCAAAATGCAACAAGTGTCGGCCGCGCGCGCTTGTCGAGATCGGGCGCGTCGTCAGTCGCGTCGTCAAAACGCTCGTTCGAGACATACCGTTCACGGGCGTGAACCGCCAATGGATTGACTCATATTGAGTATTCACTCGATTTGTATTCATCGTGATAATTTGTAAGCGACAAGGTGTAAAGGGATCATGTATCTGAATATCGAAATGAGCAATGGGCGACTTCTAAACCCATTAATAATATAAGAGTAAACATTAGACGCATACTTTTTATTATTTGGTCCACTTATGGCGAAGAGATGCTGAGTTTTTTTATTTGCGTGTCTTGTATTACTTAACGATAGCTTTTTTCCTTTTTTTTTTCAAAATGGAATATTAGTCAGCGGAAGTCAGATTTAAGTTAGAAATCAGCCCAGATAACACAAACACGTTCAAAAAAATGGTATAAAATATTGTAAGGCGTTTTATGGGTTCTTGTATTGTTTGGGAGAGATACAAAGATTCTGACTTCCACGATGTATTAAAATGACATTTATGAAATTGCTGGTTACAACACCGTCATGAACAAAGACATTAAAACAGAGGATTATTGATAAAATCCGAACAAAGCGTGAAAGATTTAGTAGTAGTAGTAAAATGCGATGTTATTTAAGACCGTTATATGTTAATTAACAAATTAAAACCGCGACGTTTCGTAACATTCAACACTGTGAATTGTGAAAAGGGAAGGACGTCCCGTTTCGACGTCGATGGTTTCTCTAGCGTGCGGACCGCGATCGTTGCCTGATCTCGAGAACGCGACCGCTATTTACGAACGATCAACCCGATGAACTTTCATTGCGCGGCGTTACGCGGTTTGCCGTGCGGATGCTCGATTTCTTCTGGTTTATTTGTTGGAACAGGAGAGCCGAGAGACGCGCGATTGTACTCGTAGGCGGTGCCTCATTCTCGTAGCTGTGAGACTTGTATGCCCTCCTACATTGCTTGTCTTTTGCTCTATACAAAAATATTTGATATACGCAATATATTGAATTGATGAGAACTTTTGTCTAGATGAATATGGATTCTGGGATTATTATTGATATGATTTTTATATTTAAAGATAAGTTTATAGCAAATTAGATGTTATATGGATGTCTCTGATTTTTTTCGTTCACGCTTTGGGGTAGAGAATTTTATATAGAATTGCGACTTTATATCGTTATAAAAACATTTTTATTTTATCTATATTGGTTCTTATATATCGTTCTGATCTTATATCATTCTTATAATTAATCTCTCATTGTTCTAATGTAGATTCCTGATTAGTATTTTTTTAAGAGTATTTCGTAATATTTTGAGAAAAAGTTTCAATATATTTGTAAATTTAAATGCAAGACGCATTATACATTAACATCATATTGCATAATTTCATTGCTTGGCTTGGAATTTTATTGCTTGGCGCGACGCATGAAGCGAGCTAAAAATATTGCTCACGTATCACTGATATTTTGTCCGCAAATGATTTATATGTTAGTTCAGTATCAGTTGTTCTCCAAAAATAAATGAACTATTTGATCTATTAAATATTTAAATAATCGATTAAATAAGAATCCAAGTAAAGTTAACTTTTTTTCGATATTTTTCTTTTTTCAAAAATATCGCCTTATTTAGAAAAATGTCGTTGACACAAATGAAAAGTTTTCTGTTAGCAAATACTATCGAATAATCGTATCTTGTGTCTTCGCAGATCAGTTGTTATGTGAAACATATTGAAAAAAATGTGCAAGACTCGCAGGTAGATTGCATTTCTAAAGAAGCGAGGCACGCCTAGGAATTTCATGCTTATAATTGTAAATCATTGCGAAGCGTCTTGAGCCGAGAACTGTTGACAGAAATAAACAAGAAGTCTAATTTACCAAGTGTCTTACTAAAGTATCTATTCCGATTACACCAATAAACGATGGATACGGGTTCTCAGTATGAAAGGATGTCAAGTATAGTCGTTTGATGTTAATTACACGAACTTTGGAAATCGCAAAACGTTCGGAAACATCACAATTTTCGGAAACCTATATCTATTTATATTGTCGCTATTATAAGAAAAAGGAAGATTGTATCCTATGATAAAAATTTACTTCTTCATTCATAACTCCGGAGAGCCGAAAGAATTATAAACTGATTTATTTTTGTGATTTTAGAAACTGCGATTTTATGTTTTTGTTTAAGAAAATCTGTACATATAATTTTGCTTTGTCATTTCGTAACAATTAGCTGTTCGATTGTCTTATTTAATTATATGTAATTTTATTTTAAAACCATTTCTCGCATTAAGTTTGCATTGTATCAATACCTGCAAAAGAATTTTGTATTTTTCAGATAAGCAATGCAAGTCTCAAAACTTTTCTTCCTTTTATCTTTAATGCGCGAGGGATGCTGAAACTCTGGCGTAAAAATATTTTCTTGCTTGAAATTAGTGAAGTTGATTAGAAGTCGCTCGTTTGGACAAATGCGAACGGCAAACTGAACGGCAACGCCACACACGAGCATACAAATACAATAAAAAAGAGAGAGAGAGAGAGAGAGCGAGAGAGAGAGAGAGAGAAAGAGGTATTATTTCTACACGAAACTGAGATAAAAGTATATAAATAATATATATATGACAAAGTATATATATATAAATATATATATATTTAGATAATTAGATTTAAAAAAATATATATGTATATGATTGAGAGAAAATGAATAATTATAAATACGGCGTACACGTATATACACACACGTACAGACATACGATACACAAACACGTATAGACACCGACCCACGCAAACAAAAGTACACGTACGGTATAGAGCAATACGTGATACTTCTGTGGAGGACAGGGAACAAGAAGATAATACAAGTGCCAGAGAGCATTCCTATAGGAAACTCGTTGCAATTGTTTCACCGTCTATGGTTTTTTTTTCTCCTTTTCATTCTCGAAACGAGTGTACGTCTATTAGTGAATGAATTGCCTCGCGATCCTACGTTGAGCTGTTTGTAATTATTGCGAAGCGACGCGACGCGACTCATAGGCATGTTTAGCACGTTTTTCGAGTGGAGTTCGCGATGGTGTCAAGTATATTGGCGAAAAGGAACGCGTTTTACGGCGAAAATGAAAAAACAGTCGTATTATAGAAAAATTAAAATCTACTTTTCCACAAGTATCATAATTATTATCCGAATTGATCAAAAAATTATCTCGAAAAAGGGATTAAGAAAGGTGTGAAAATCTTGGGACATTCGTCATGATTCTTTGAATACATTAAATAAATAAAGCTAAATGAAGTAAGAATTAGTGTAACAGTCACGTAATAAATTAAATTCTGAAAAATTGGCTACAATACTATAAATTTCGATGCATTTCAATTTTCAAATAGCATCACATGTATTTTCGAAAAATGAGCGAAACATGAATAAGCATTGCACTCAAACAGCTTGACACCTCGCGCATTTTCGTTTTTGGACTCGACGAGAATTAATTAGTGTAACTCGTCCATCGCATGTGAAAAAACACGGCGATGCCACTTTAGGAGTTTCGGTGATTCCCACTGTTATTTAGTCGTCGCGCGACCACGATTCTCTACACGAAACAGCGTAACACGAAAAACACGTTTCACCGGCAGTCGAGTGCTTCCTCGAGGTGTCACGCGTTACTTTCAACGGTATATTTCGTACAAATACTATACTACTTTTAGACGTAATTTGTAAGCTTCGTAGAGTGAAAAAATGGGAATTTAATGACGCGAACGGATCGTGACGCGGACGAGCGCGATTTCGCACGAGAGAAGCGAATTATAATTCGCTTCTCTCTCTTTTTTTTTAATAAAAAAAATTATCACTATTACTGCATGTGTTCCCTCCGCGTATTCAATCTGATTTATTCCCCTTCTCGCGTGCTCGCGTTCGCTCGTCCCGTTGCGAATCCGTGTTTTAGAGCCGCAATGTGTTTTTCACAGACAACGGACGTAAATATCTCGCGACCAAGCGCAGAAACCGTGGACGACGTGGTGGGCGCACGTCGTTGTCTTGTAACATTGTAAATTACTATAAAATGGCGAACGTTTAATAAATTATTTGATCAAATCCGCTGGTTTTCTTATCGCGCCATATTCCTTTTGTGCGTTTTATTTGGGCAAACAGAAGAAAATACTTTTTATTGCGATATTTAAAGTAATATGTAATTATCCAGCTAGCCAGATGTTAGCAATGTTCGCAGATTGACAACAAATTTGATCAAATATTGCTAAGATTTTGCTCACTGGATGGTTTAATTATTTATCTCAAATCTTAGACTCTTAGTATTTTTTAATGTGTAGATACTTTATTTGACGAGTTTAAATCAAATAATAAAAATGTCGATAATAAATATCTTTTCCAGAAAGAAATTGAGCATCAAGTTATTAACTCTTCTAGAAAAGTGTACACTTAATCAGCTTTATACTACTTAAATATTTTAATCGTGATCTATATTTAAAAATAATACCACTAAAATCAAAACAAAATATATATATATTTCTTTTTTCTTATCTTCTCACTCAAAGATTTAAGATAAAATTTAAATATATCATCGATATATTTATCGAATGATGAAACGCAAATTACTCCGAGCTGTTTGCCACGGCGTGTCATCTTTTTATTAGTTTCAGGCATAAATTAGTTCCACTAAAAAAGCGACATTCGGCGGGGTCGAGTTCAAGGAATATTCGCGTGTAGCCCGTTCGGGCGCCATAAATTCGTTGACTTCACATAGGGTTAATCCTAGAATCGTGAATGTCGGCACGAATCTCGTTCGTTCCCGAGGATTACGCAAGACGAGCCGCCCCGGTTACAGGCGGTTTCAGGGAAGTCGCCGATAGACCACTTGAAGAAAAAAAGCAATCATACGCATACGTTAATCAACCGAGGAAGATGAATCGTTCGCCTTCTGTTACGTTCTACCCTCTGGAATTTCCGTGGGAACTAGTCCAAGGAATTCACGAATCTCTATTGTTCCTACATCTCGTTTCCAAGCTCGTAAGACGCTTCAGAAGTATTCATTTTTGATTCCTTGCTCTTTATTTTTTGTCATTAATTATTCAAAAATTGCCAATATTACCAAAATCTCGGTAGAAAAATTTACATCCGTAAGGATTATTAGAAATAAAATTTTTTATTTGTTACATATTAATATTTTCGTAGAAATCTAATTTCTTTTCAAATCGCGAATTTTTTTCGCAAATTTGTTTTTAATTGTAGTCAATACACTAGATAGAAGAATTCTAATGTGTGTGTGCGCGTGTGTGCGTATGTCCAATTTATAAAATAAATGGAAAGATTGCACGGTAATTGCAATAATACGAACTCTTTTTTTTCATGCGCTTAACAGTGCGTGTCTACCGGCCCTACCATTATCCACGGTCGACCGACACACGACTTCCGCGCGACGGAAACGGTATGAAAGGCCGATCCGCAGAAGAACGGAAGGCGCCCGGAGAAAAGAGTATCCTGAGCTCGCAGCCGGGGTGAGAGGATATTGCGATCGGTCAGCGCGATGGCGATTGCGTTTTCAAGTTTTAATCCGGCCCAGGGCGAGGGATCTAAGCCGAAAAGCCCGCAGCCGCGAACGTCATCACGGCCGCTTCGTGCCCGTCTAACCGCTCGTCGAGATTATATTAATTCGATTAATGGATGCCATCCATCGTCGGCGATGCCCACGCGTCCATTGGACTTCTCTCCGGCTTGCTCGTTCGCCCGCTGTTCTCGATGCCCGCCCCGAGGTTTGATGAGAGATACATAATTTTGCTGTGATCGAGGCGGAACCAATAACGTAACCAAAGGTACGCAAATTCGATTACGTTTACCGCATGCATATTAACATTTATTAATTTGCTAAAATCGATTTATGTTTATAATAGATAAATACATAGACCATGTTGGTAATCTCTGTTAATATTTGTATTGATTATTATTTGAGATAAGTGAAAGAAAGAGAGAGTTATGAATGCGAGAGTTGATAGATGTAACAGTTACTAATTATCGCATAAATTTGATAAAATTATTTCTTATTAATATCAAGATAATAATTTTTATCAAATTTACGACGTTACGCGCCAATTTATGTGATTATTGTAATGAATAGTTGATGACAATCGCAACAATTGTAGCAATTACTATAGATTAATGCTATGTTTTTACGTAGAAATGAGTACATTTCCTCATTTCATTAGAATCAAAGATTTTTTTAATTTTATTAAAGTTTTCTCGAATTTAATTAAAGATTAAAGTATTTCATTTATTCGCATCTTTAAAGTTTAATTTGCGAAAAGATTTTTATCACTGATCTTAAAATTATTAATGCCTCAACATTTAAATTAGAAAATTTGACGAAAATACTATTATCAAAAAAGATTTTTCTTGTTTGATGAGGGATATTAAAAAATTAATAATAAATAATTGTATCATGGTGCAAATGTTTTTGGAGTTATATTAAAAAATGAGATTTCTCGAAATAAGCTTTTGGAATACAATTGAGTAACAAAATGCTATTATTCAATCTTAATATTTATTTTAGATTTAAGTGAAATTTATTATTTCAAAAATCTCATTTGAGATAAACAAAACTGTTAAGTATTGCAATAAGATATCAAGTAATCAAAGAATAAGATTGAAGTACAGTATTCCGAGACACCTTGTGTAATAATATATACTGTAAGGGATGAATCTCTCACTGCTTAATGAATAGTTGATGACAGCGGCGGTAATCTTTGACTTCGTAAAAATCCGTCGGTCCATTTGCCGTCGGGCTAAATGAATAATTGATAGGCAGATCGTATTGCGATTCTAGAACTGCTTTTTACAAGATCCGCGAGTCGATATCGTTATTTTTGGATTAACAGTGTATATTCGCGACTTACGTGCATTCGCCGGCGTCAGCTATTAGACTGAAAAATATTACATTGGGATTTTATACTGTTTCAAAAGCTAAACCTGTTAGTTATAGCCCGTTTACATTGCGTGATTTATGCGATGATACGGGATAAGATCGACTGGTATAAAAATTATGAACTATATGTAATTTTATATTGCGTTGCATCTTCGCAATACCACGGTCGCTATAAATATCGTAGAGCATAAATAATGCTTCCCGCTATCTTCCTGGTATCTTGCGTATTTCATAGCACTAAAATGCGCCAGTCGCGCGGTTTCTAGTTATTAAAAATTATTAGATATCTGTTATTTGTTTTAGTTTTTGCTTTGTGCTGTCTATATATCAAAAAATATACGTATGTACTTTGCTCTCGTATAAAAGAAGTATCGTTTCTGACGATACAAAATATTTCAATGAAATTTCAGCGGCAGTATTTTCTCATAATTATGAACAATTATGTGTATTGTAAGATTCCAATTATGAGTTTACGAATTCCGTAAGATATTATTATTAAGCATTATTATTTCAGTCGTAAAATACACTCTCGCGTGCGAGTATGTACATCCTAAATAATCCTCCCCGATTTTCGGCGTTGAATGCGGAGCTCAAAGGCCAGCAAAAGGAGAGCGCGTTTTAACGCGATGAGGTAGCGCTCTGTGAAAAGCATTCCAGCCGCCACCTGCGTTGAACGCCATAATTATGTTTCTTGTGCGCCTGCTTTTGGTACGAAGCGTTTGGATATTTTGCCTGGACGGCCTTATGCTACATAAATGCCTTCTGTCAGACTGCAAGGCGCCCTTAAACGGTGGGCCCTTCGTTTTCATGCGCCTTTCATCTCAGGCGAGTATGTACAATTCCGCCAACGCGCCTATAGCCGAGCTTTTTGTAGGAATATTGTATATATTTAAATATGCAGAATCGATAATAGGCATATTTGATGGACAACTCGGATGTTCCTTTCTAAACGTGAAACGTGAAAACGGTTTTTTTGTATTAAAATTTGCATTGAAAGTTGATGGAACGTTGTATTTCCCAGTTTTTAAAGCTTTAGTGTTGAATTTACTCCAAGTCAAAATTCTGTTAAAGTAAAATTTGTTTTACTTGCTTAAAATAAAAGTTCGTTATTTCTTATTGCGTATATTTTTCTAATGATTAATGATGAATGTCAAAGAAAAAAAAATTTAAACAATATCCATACAAAAAATTACGCAACTGAATAAATATCGCACGGTTGACTTGAAAAGCCCTATCGAATAAGACCGAAAAGAAGTCTGTACCTTTCACCGTTTTCAAGGAAATCACGAAAGGCAGAATCGAAAAAGTAAAATATCTCACAAACGAAAGCGGATAGCTGGGCAAACATATATAATAATCAGTGCACGTCATCTGACTTTCGCAATGTGTGAAAAGAGAACGCATATCCTGTCTGTTGGCAAGTCTATTAGCGAGCAAATAAATTTTGTATCTCGAGTGCCTTTACACTCTCGGCAAAGAGGTATACGTCAGCGATCGCGTAAGTGTTGAAGGCATAGTTATCACTGCCGACGCTAGAATCGTTGTTAATAAAAAGAAGGTTGCTCCGAAACAGTGTGAGATTCACGGGCGGCAAAAAAATACTACAACAGATACTTTAGGTAGACCGGACTCGTGTCGGCCACGCGGAAAGATTCGCGGTTGACTTAATTCTCCGGGACCTATATTTATCGTATCCAACACCAGATTTCGAGCTGTCAAGTCAGACGAGCCAACGAGGCCTTTCCACGTTGCGGTCCAACAGAAGTTCGCGTGACGGCAACAGACGTCGGCTCTCCTCTCTCCACTCACGTCGTCCCTCCTCGTCAATTTCCCTCTTTCTCTCTTCCGTATCCCTCTCTTTTTCTCCCGCATCTCCGACCGTCTTTTCTTTTTTTTTCTTCGAGCGCCAAATCGACGCCGTCGACCAATGGAGCGGCAGAAAACTCGCTCTATAAGCCTCGCACGCAGCCGAACCCGTCCTCGTCTCTCCCGACGAAATTGACGGAAGAAGAACCCTCTCGCCTGCGGGGATCACCGTGAAATAATCCGTGGATAAATTCCTCGAAGACCTTCCTCTCTCGCAGACCAGCGGCGAGGCGAGCGTTCTTTACGATCCGCTCGCGGCAATCGATTCCGTGAATGAACATGTCCCATTGACAAGTGATATTCGATTGCTTCATCGGTGCCGATTGCGTCAGCCTTAATTAACGATATGCATACAAAGTATCCCGTAACGCGTTTAGTGAAACGATGATCGGAGAATTGGAGAATTGAAATGATACTTTCTCATCAAAGATGTCAAGACGTCACTAATTTAACGAACGACAATAAGAAGAGGAAAGTCTCGACGATTTTGAGAGATTTCTTTAAGAATAGAAATAAATAAAATTTTTACCCTTTTAAATGGATTTTGAAAAAAGATTAACTTGAGTTTTAGATATTGAAATTTTAATCGCGAAACAAGAGATAATATCGAGTTGAATTTTTATACGAGCAAGTCGTTTTTGTTCGTCAAGTATTTCTCGACGTTGGTAAAATATCTGTCTACAATTGCATATGCCTTTGTATGTTTGTTGTTTGCTCAGCCATTCATATTAATTATTCGCATCCACGAGATTATGCATTAAGACGTATTCTCTTGTTATATTATCAAAGATACTGCTACAGCAGAATTTCGGTATATTATATTGGACAAATTAAATTGTAATTTCTGGAAAAGCAAGACGATTCGTTAACCAGAGCCAATTAGACATGGTATTACTGAAATTAATCAATAGAGACGATATTCAGCTGTGGATTTCAGTGTATAACGGAAATGGATTACATCGAGTAATATTATGCCTGCGTATATAGAGGGACGATGGTGGAGCAGGCAAAGACAAACTAATGTACATGTATTATACACTACCTGCTATGCAAAGACGATATATATAGGAGATTGACATAACATTATATATCGCATAACATATTGATGCGTAAATTCTAATCATGTAGAATCATTCATTGCGCAATGCTTCGAGAAACTAATTATTATACAAAATGCGAATCGACCGAGTAAACTACTTTCTAATCAAGATAAAGAAAGAAATAATATCTTTCTAAAGATATTTCCCGCTAAAGATCTTGAATAGCGATACCAGGGGAAATATCTCTTTTTCAAATATATAACTATTGAAGTGAAAAAAACTTCTCATTTCTACGTATAAACGTCTCTTATGTAATATTATTACAAATTACCCGAGTATCTCATAATGTTATTATTCATTATTCACCCCAATTCGTCTCCCTACACAATTATCTCTCCACCTCGTACAATCCGAAAGCAACGAAATCCCAAACGCAAACGAACCAACAGGTTAACGTTTAAAGC